GCCATTATGCGGCAGGAGTGGGATCAGTATTTTCCTGATCCCCCAGAGCCATCGACGGTTGTTGCTGACTGGCCGATTCAAGAGGTGCATAATGGGCGACGACTGAGTTATGGCTCATACTTAATCTACTCAAGTGCACCTCGATGTTATTACAATTATTTCAATTTATTTTTATGTCATTGATTAGTTAGTAATATCTAAAGTGTTTTTATTTTTTTAAAGATTTCGTCATCGCCCGTCACGGAGGCCACATTGTGCGATACTGACTTGCCAGAGATGGATGATGTTATTCAGGAGCCCCCTGAGACCATGGTATGACCATTAAAAAGACTTTTGCTAAACATACGTTAGTATTTTATATTTTATAAACTAAAATATCTTATTATTCTGTAAGTTATTGTTGATCCAACGGCCACTTCTACCGAGTCTGCCAGCCTTACTAATGATCATATTGCAGCGCATCCTCCGATAAAGAGGCGACATGATGATGATGATCTTGATAGCGTAGCCGAGCGGGATGGGATGCGCATCAGGCTAGCCAATGCTTTAAAGCATACAGGTTGTGGGACTCATAGATATGTATTATTAGTTGTATATGTGTCATTAAATATATAATAGCAACATTATTTATGTTTTACATAATTTGCGCATGTGTTTTTATTTTTCGAGTTATTTATTAGTTTAACACTAGAACACAAAAAAATAGCTTAACATAAATTTAAATTTGTTACCAATTAAAGATAATACATTACATGTACGACATAAAAATAAAATACTATACTAAATGCATCCATGTGTTTGTTTAGTCACTATCGCTCATTATTCTATGCTTCAACCACTTAAATTTCTCTTCCATCCTATTTTTTTGTTCTTCTGCCTCTTTTAGTTTCTCCTTCATTGCCGCAAATTGTTCTTGTAGTTTCAAGATCTTGAGTTCGTATTCACCGGTCATATTCTAAATGTTTAGCAAACATGATTTATAGTATTCCTGGTTAATGGGTTCATCATACCATTCTTTAAAACCACATTGATTTTCGTCCTACCAATGGGATGATAACACAAGACTATTAATTAACATGTTATATAAAAACAATTAACAAATATTTTTTCCAAAAATGATAACTTATAACTTGTTTACACATCCAACGTTTGCGCCCCAGATTGCAATTTGACCAACATGGCTTCAAAATCGCACGTTTGCCACAATAACACCTTGGTACGTCATTGCGTCCAGTCATGTCGTAATGCTCGAAAATAAAAAATTAATGAAAAGTTTTTCTATTCGTTTCGTTACAACGCAACTAATAACTAAAATGTGCAAGGTTTTTATAGGAAGCTAAGAGTGATTTTAGGTTACATAACGCATATTGGTGAGGTACTATATTTTGCGTGATAATGATTCTTTAGTATACAGTGGGTCCAGCTTTTTCAGGTCGACAGCTTTTTCAGATCGACAGCTTTTTCAGGTCGACATGACAATACACATAGTGCATATTAGTAAGGCGCTATGTTTCACGTGATAATAATTCTTTAGGGTACAAGTGGGTCCAGCTTTTTCAGGTCGACATGACAATACACATAGCGCATATTGGTGAGGCGCTATATTTAACGTGATAATGATTCTTTAGGGTACAAGTGGGCCTAGCTTTTTCAGATCGACAACTTTTTCAAGTCAACATGACAATACACATAGCGCATATTGGTGAGGCGCTACGTTTAATATACAAGTTTGTGTAGTTTAGTTCTTCTTAAGTTGAAACAAGAGATTGGTATTCAAAGACCATTTGAAGAACTATTACATCATCCATTTCAGAAATACCATTAACATTTAATAAGTGATTTAAGAAGAGGCAAAAAGGTGAAGGTAGTTCAAAAGATCCACATGGAACACGTCATAACACAATCGATCCCAACCTTGAAAAACAATATGCTAGGTTGCTATACAGATTTGGTTGATGACAAGTGGTATGGTATTCTACGTCCTTTGGAAAATAAACCTATCAATATACACACTGATCTCAAAGTTGCAAGACACATTATTGAGGGCGAAGCGCATTCTACAAAGCCTGAAGGTATGCGAATTTGGGGCGAAAAACTATAATGGGTTCCCCTTTACTCAAAACGATGTGATTATAAAGTATTATGTCACTGGCATGGGCTTGTTTTACCACAAGCAATGTCTGCAGCCTTCCAAACAAACACACACAAAGTTGAACCAGAAGTAATTCGGCATTTGATGAAGGAGATTCTAGAAATGGAAAAGGAATTAGCCGTTCATCATACAATAGATGATCTTAACTACCTGAAAGGAACGGAGGATCAGTAATGGGCTTTTTTAGAAAATAAAAAATTGCATAGAGACAACGATTATCCTATTTTCCCAACAATTGTCGAGTGGGAGGGACTACCTAAGTTTCTACCACAAATGTGTGTCAATTGGGGCCTAGATTATGATGCCTCAGTCCGGAAGGGCGCGTAGAAGATGTTGATGAAGAAGATGAAGATTATGACAATGAAATAGTGCCAGACAGTGACGATAATGGCGAATAAAAATTGCTATTTATTTCTTGGGTGTATGTTAAATTATTGTTTTGAATCTTTAATACTAAATATCAATTAGATTTAACCCCATTGGAAACATAATTTTATTTCATAAATTTTGCAAACTAAACATTTACAAACATTTAGTACAATAAAAATACTGCAAAAAAAAAAACACTATGTTTATCCTTGATAATGGGGCGCATTGGATGAACTGCCATCTGGAGCTGAATTACAACCGCTTCCCAAACTAGTTGAAAGACATTTATGGCGGTTGTGTCCTGTTTGGGAACATATGCCATATTTATGCGCATAAACGGTATCACAAACATCCATTTGGTTTCGTATCCGCGTTCCTTTTTGCACTTGCCATTGACGTACATAATTCTTGTTACACACCATTTTAAATGGTTCCGGAGGCCAATAATGCTCAGCACCCACTGGCTGCAACTGTCCATATAGGTGTTTAAGTATGCAGAAACACTATATTCTTTATCAACATACTTCATCGCCGCGAAGCCTGTATGTTGAAAGCACTTCATGGCATGTGAGCATGGAAAGTGGTAGATTGACCATTTTTCACATGAGCATAATATTCTAGCTTCATTGATAGTGAGTGTATTATTTCCGCGGTTGTGATGCAGACCAATGCGAACTTCAAAAATATTTCTCTCGCTGTAATATTGCAAAAATGAATGCCACTGTGCTTGCTTCCTATATTTCTCAAATCCTTTCATTGGTTGTGAAAACCCCTTTCCATCAATGACGATGCACCTCTAGATCTTTCAAAAAACCTCTCCGCCATCTGCTTGAATGACATCCGCACCATGGCAGTAACAGGCAATCCACATGCAAACTTCAATAACCCGTTGAAAGACTCTAACACATTTGTAGTCAGAATTCCCTATCTTCTACCACCATCCTTATGCAAAGTCCATTTGTCAAGCCCATGTCACATCAATCAATTATAGGCTTCTGGGTCTTCCTGCCTAATCAATTCCATTCGCCTCCTGAATTTACACTCTTGGTAATCTGTTGCAGCCATCCATATTAAATCATATAAGTCCTTGTTCGGATAAGGCTTCTGTAAGTTAGCCTTCAAGTGCCTAACACAGTAACGGTGGTAGGCATGTGGTTCCTGCCATACACACAAATTATATACAAAACTTAAAATACTGCCATGCCAATCAGATATTAGACAAATACCTTAACACTGCTTGACAACGTGCTCCTTCAAGTGGTACAAAAATATTGTCCACATCTCTTGGATGTCATTGGTACAAATAGCAAATGATAGGGGAAATATACTTCCATTAGCATCTACTGCAACGGCGATCAACAACTTAATATCATACTTTCCATAGACATGAGTGTCGTCTATGGATATTACAGGCCGACAATGCACAAAACCATCAATGGTTGATTTAAATGCCAGAACACATATTTGAATATGTATTTTGGTATTTCAGGACTCCGCTAAAGCTTTCATTCAACAACAGTCCTGGGTTAAAGTGTTGCAATGCAGCCATATACCTGGGTAGAGCGACAAAGGACTTATCCCAGTTACTATCCATATACCTGGTGGACAGATGTTATACACTATTTGATCTTGTACCTTATGGATGCTTCAATGTGTGGAATCAAGACAAGAGAAATCAAGTCAACATTCAAGTTAAAATGATTCCCACTGAATATGTCTATTTCATAAGTGTGGGTGCCAATGTATTTCCCCACAATTCACATATTTATTTTCAACTTTATCGCACGCAACATTCAATTACAACCTTGAAATCATCTACGATAAATAACCTTGTATACTTTCAGAGATGGCTCATGAACCACGATCTCACGACACTCTTTTATGTTGTATATTCGCACCGCCCTGCTTAGGCATGCCCTTTGATAGCACTGTTGCTTTAGATTCATCCTACATTGCTGTCCAAATTTTGTCAAGATCCCTTGTGAGAGCATCCACATCCGGTATGCTTGGCAACTGATCAAGGTAGGGAATCACCCTTGAATGAAATGGCACATGCGACTCGTACCCTATTGGTCTAACGGGAGGTGGAGCATGCTCCCTCATCAAATCAGGTTCATCATTCTCGTCCTCATCATTATCACCCTCATCAGGGAAGGGTGTGTCATCTCCAGACTCATCAGCATTGTTGCCATAATCACTATCATCTTCCTAACTCTGCGCATCTGCCAAATCCCGATTAAATATGTCGTCTTCGGGTAATTGAGTAAGGACAGGACCTTCAAGTTGCTCGTTTTCACTGCACAGCCAATAAAATAATGAGTTTCTCAAATTCATCCAAACTTTACATTAAAACTTTATCACTTAACTTACAAATCAAAATGTGTTGATATCTCATGATGCACATTATCCTGTTGCTGATGACTCCCGGATGGACCACCATGATCTAACACACCAAAATAGGCATATTCCAACTGTCTGTTGGTTCATAACTTGTAAAATTCATATCTGGCCGGTACCCTCTGTGAAATATATGAGTGTTAATACAAATTCAATATATAAAAATAAATATCATAACACAAAGAAAAATTGAAGTTTACCTCTTGTCTTATGGATTATGTAAACTTGAGGATAAATTATGTCATCGCTCCTCATTCGCCTGTGGAGATAAGTTTAGATCTGTCCAAACTCTTTCACCCGGAACTTGTTTGGATAAAACTTCTCCCAAAAAAATCACCCGATGATTGAGAGATATCCCTATTTTGCGGAACCTCATTATTACAAGCGTCTTCAGCCTCGACGTACATTTCCAATATTTTTATCACAAGAAGTTTTCGGTGTTCATCCGGAGTCCTCAAAAAATCTGTCAGAGTTTCATCGTCTATGATGTTAAACTCAACATAACAAGCAACCCCTTGCGGAGTAACAGAATACAGATATATTTCGGTTACTTTAATATTAACCGAACGTTTGCTCACACTCATTGTTTTACATAACAACGATACCAATCTATCGTACTCCATTGTAAGTACAACTTAACATGACACTGTGGAGAACAACTATAGAGTACTAAGTTATTCTCCACTATAACCTAACCCCNAAATAACTTAACGAATAAATATTTTGGAAAATCTGAAGGATCCTGAATGGATTTTTACCAAATTCTGAAACTCCTTAAATAAGACAAAAATCAGTCTGGGGGTACAATTATTTGATATACATCGCATGCATAATAGACGCTATATATATAGCGCGTATACTCCATGCGCTATACCCATATGAATTGGTGGGCCAGTAAAGTGTAACTGAATTATTTGTGGGGCAGGAAAGTTCAAATATAGCATGGTTATTCACCGCGCTATATATAAAATGGTAGTTAATTTTTTTCCACCTATTTTTGTCGTTTGAATCCAAAAGAACTACACTTTGGTTCCGGACTCATCAATGTAGATTCCAAAATCTGCTTCGTTGCTTGACTTTCCTTATTAAACAAGCATAGTTCTCTTGTTAAAATTATTATCTTGTAGACTGTTAAATTTTATTAAATTTAAATTTACAAGAAACTTGAATTTTATCACAAATAAAATATATATTAGTCTAAATAAATATAATGGACTAATATAATTAAGTTAATTATTTAAATCAAATCAAATTGGTTTAAATAAAAGTTCAATACAATTGCACAAGACCATTCTTCTATCACATGGGTCGGCCGCCCATAAGCCTCAAACCCAATGGCCACTAGGGTTTTCTTGGAAGCTACTCCACTCACACCTATATAATGAGATCAAAGGGGAAGGCTAAAGGGGACCCAGAAATCAGAAGGCTAGAAGGAGAATCAAGTAAGCAGAATTAAAGGAAAGGCTAAAGAAGCTCTAAAGAATAGCATCAAGGTCTCCATCCATATCTGCAATCGTCGTTTGTGGTCAAATTTCAAAGGCGAACTCAAATCATAGGCGAACGGCTTCAAATCTTCCGTTCGTGATAACCCAACACCAAATCCTGGTTCGTGACGATCTTCTAATTATTCGTGATGTACCACAAATCTGAAATTCGTCAAGTTCAAGATCAAGCTCTCAAGCTCTTGAGCCATCGTTCTTGAGAAGAAGAATCAGAGGACTACATCTCTTTAGGTTTGAGAAATTTTAGAGATTGTAATCCCATCACTTGAAATCGAATATAATATCTGTCGTTATATTTCTTGTCTTGATTATTATTTTTCAGGAGAGAAATTTAGTTGTGACGTATCTATCTGCGGGTCAAAATAATATAGTCGACTTAAAGGAGGATTAAGGAGAGCAAGGGTTTCTCATCAAACTCTTTTTCAAACGATTAATCGAGTACAAACATTTGTGTCAGCAGTAAAAGAGTGCCAAATTAAAGAAGAAAATGAAAAACGGATTAGTTTAGCCAAGTTAAGCTTCATGGTTAAAAAAAAAAGGAAATACTTCCTAGAATTAATAAATCACACTTGAGAAAAAATAAGAACTTATAGCATGTTTGGCCAAACTTCTAAAATCAGCTTATTTTGATAAATAATTTTTTTCAAAAGTACTTTTGGTGAGAAGCAATTTGTGTTTGACCAATTAATTTAAAAGGCACTTTTGAGTAGCAATTAGTATTTGACCATACTTTTAAAAAGTGATTCTAAGTATATTTTTCTCAAAAGTGCTTTTCAAAAAAGTGTTTTTGGAGAGAAACTATTTTTTTCTGCTTCTCCAAAACTGCTTTTGCTTCTCCTCAAAAGTATTTTTTTTAAAAAGCTTATCCAAACACTTTAACTTTGGAAAAAAATATTATTTTTTTTAAGTTCGTAGAAACTTGGCCAAAGAGGCTATTAATCCCATATTCTATTTATAAGGTAACACTAACAAGTTATAAGGGATAATTTAAGATACCTTCATTTTGTGACTTGGTAACACCAATCTTTCCTGTAATTTACAATATTGCTTAGTGCTTATCTCTTTTATTTTGGTTTTCTTGCACTATTCTCATAACATGTTTATCATTGATATTAAAATTTAATTTTAAAATTCATCCCTATGGTTTGCTGTGAAGTTACGTACTTTGGATAGGGGATGATTGTGAAATTGTAGTTAAAAAATCACTGGAGTGTTCGAATGAACTTTATAGAAGATTGGTCTAGTAGCCACTATTATTGTTCAACAACAGTTATGTGTAGTTACCTTCATCAAGACTTCAAATTTCAGAACAAATTAATTGAAGCATCATCTTTCAAATATTTTATTAAGAAACGAGAATTTGAAGAAAAAAAACATATATAGGAGATAATTTCCTCTACCAATGCCCAAGATGTTTACAAAATTAATTAATTAAAATAACATATTATAAAGGACAGATTAACTAAACCATAAATAGATTCAAAGGAATTGTTATTATAAAATCAAGATAGAGAGATAAGCTTAATTATTGTAAAGCACAAAGGAAGTAAATCTTACGAAGCCAAACTAGAGAGGAGATTTAGCTAGTAATTGGACATAGATTTGGTTGAAACTTAAAAAAATAAGTTTTTGAAGATAAGATGAAAAATAATTTTTTGAAAGTTAAAATTGTGTTTGGACATACATTTTACTTAGAAGAATTTGAAGTTTTATGAGTAGAAAACTTCAAAAACTACTCTAGAGTTGTTTTTGGGATTTGAAGATTTTATTTTTAAAATTTACCAAAAAAATAATAATAATCTATAAACAAATAGATATTTAAAAAAAAAAAACTTCCAAATTTATGGCCAAGCAGTAGCATATAAAATTATCCCAATTTCCCAAGCTATAAATAAAGAGTTACATGTACCTTGCATGGACCTAACAAGTGACCAGCGAACTGGTTCTGGTTCTGGTTCTGGTTCTGGTTCTGGTCCAATCCTCTTTTTAAGGAGCACTTTCATCAAATAGCCAAAGTTTGGCCTTATATTTAGAAGTTGATCAGTTTTCAAAAATTAACCTGTGATCTGAAAGGACTCAAAACATTTGTAGAAATATGATATTTTTGGGGTGGTCTTTTAATTTTTAACCCCCAATTGCCAAATGGGCAAAATTTTAAGGTAAAAAATTAAAAATATTGACCATAGAGTAAGCAAGGGGTAACAATTGTTAAAATTGAAGTTATGCCCATGAAGCAAGCAGAGACAAAAATTCAAGACCATCCACATTAAAAGTTATTTGTGTACTTCACCCCAAAGGACTAGATGAGGGGACGAGTCTGTTAAAAATAAAAAAATAAAGGGGTATTATCACTTTTAGCCCGCGTCAAAAACTAGTTACATATGGTAGCCGAAAAAGTGTATAAATTTTTTATAATTTTTGTATATAACATACTGAATGTATATTTATACAAATTTTATATATTTTTTGGCTATTATTTTTATAGCGGCTATATAGTGTCATTTTTTCAAAAATAAAGGAGCTCGATCCTATTACCTATAACCAACTCTAACCACTAAAATGGGCCTATTAGAAGGGTCGGGTTGGGCTGTGTTTCTTTTCTCTTTTCTACATCATTCTACTACTTAAGTTTAGCGAATTTAGTTTCTTAAGCTTAATGCAATATCTCAGCCATTAGTTTTGAATATTTACGTTCCAAAATTGTGTATTGCATATGTTACTAAGTCGGTATAACTTACTAGTTCGCCAATACTTGTCATTTCAAATGTAAATCATAAACTGAACGACACATATTCGACTTGCTTACAAAAAAAGCTTTTTAGAATTTAAAATTAGAGGAAGTAATCTAGACTTTCCACTACTCCACAATGTTATATTTTTTTACTCCACATTTTTTATTTTTTATTTAATAAATATTGATCCAATTAAAAGAGATTGAATTATTTTTTAATAACTCCTCTCTATTAAAAGGTTTTTTGGGTCAATATTTATTAGATTAAAAATATTTAAATATGACTTGATGAAAAAAAGTTATAATTATATGTCCATTTGTAAATTTTACTCAAAAAGAAATGAAAAAATATAACACCTAATACGTAAGTAAAATAAATAGAATGTGAAAAACAGTAAATTAAAACAAAAGAAGCATCTATAGAAATTGGGTTCATTTCCACCAGAAAGGAGTCGTGATGACATAATTAATTAGTGATGCAAAATAGTGATTTATAAGATAATTAATGCTTTAAGGCCAAACTAAATCAACACAAATCCTGGGAAGTTCTTCTAATTCCTCAGCTACTTTGAAGTCACCATTGAAACTATTTGAAGAGTTGCTGAATACCCTTTTGTTGGGAAATAATTGAGCTCCTTTGGCAGCCACAGCAGCACAAGAATTAGCAACTGAAGAAGAAGAAGAAGAGGAAACAGAAGCTGAGGATGAGGTTAAACAATCTGTATTTTCATGTCTAAGAAGCTCAAATAATAGAAGAACCAGAGACGCCATTTCAGACTATTTCTAACTTTTCGGTGAAACGTTTCAAGAATTACCTTTGTTTTAAGACAATGAGGTCAGGCACACAATTCCCCATTTTATAAGCAACCAAAAGTAGTTGAATATTAAAAACATATTGGCGGCCCACTGAATTTCTTTTCTTAAAAAACCAACCAACCATTTTGACTTAATTTTTGTGTAAGGCAAACAAAAGCAGTTATTTTTTCCGGAGAAAAGTGGTGAACCTACAACTTTGGTTTTGCGTGGGGAGAGGGTGTATACGAAAGATTTAATTACATCCGATATTTGAGTCCATTAGTTAAATGGTTATTCAATTATTTTAAATTATTTATTAAAGTCATTTTTAATTTATGTGTAAAAATAAAGTCACTTAACTATGCATATATCATTCAAAATGTCACTCAACCAAAATTTTCAAACTTTGAATTGTCAAATACTTAATTTACCCTCTAAATTATAAAGATTTATCTTTTTTTATTTATTTTTTAACTTTTTAATATTATAATTTTTTTCTTTTTGATTTATATTATGGCTTTACCTATAGAATAAATAAATTTTATTTATAAATTAAAAAATAAAAAGTATTTAAGCATATACAATGTTGGAATAATAAAATATTGAGCATAGTAAATAAATTAATTAGAATAATTTGTTCGTAATAATAATTTTAATATTAACAACAAAAATTCAAAAACTTATTTACACAATTGAGAATGAAATAAAATAAAGGTTATAAAATATATATACCATGCACGTAATATAAAAATAATTATTTAAATAAAGGTATTTTATAATATACATTATATATTCTTGAAAATTATGCTCAATTATATTATTATTCCGATATTATATAAGCTGAAAACTAATTTTATATTTTTATTTTATAAATAAAATATATTTGTTCTATAAGTAAGTCCACAATGTAGATTAAAAAGAGAAAAAATGATAATATTTAAAAAGTAAAAAAAATGATAATATAAAGGGTAAAATAGGTATTTGACAATCAAAAGTTTGAAAATTTTGAGTGTTACAGATATAGTTAAATGACTTTAATATTACAAACGAAAGAAATATGACTTTAGTAGATTGGAATAGTTGAGTAGCCGTTAAGTAAAATGTACTCCTCGATATTTATACTAATTGAGAAGACAGTCTTTGTATACATACATCATCACTTGAATCACAATTAATTAGTACATACGTGTTTTTATATTAATCTTATCAGTTATTTATGATAAATCAATGTAATTTCGTATAAACATCGATAGATTCTTTTCGAGCTGTAAGCATACCAGTAGTTAGCTCCTGTTGTTTTTGGAGTGTTTCCTTGTTTTTGTCAAAAAGGAAGGCTCGTACAGTTGTATTCATTTATGGAATGTGAAACCACGAGCTCCTGCCACTTGTTCTATTTTCAGAGTTTTTTTGTTTTGTTTTGCGATTGCTTGTAATTTTTGCGAATTCTTTGATTCAATAGTAGCATCAATTTCTCTGAGTCAATTCGGGGGGTTTAGACATCGTTTTTGACTCAATTAAACTTGATTGGGGTTCAAAAAAGTAAGCTTAATTCGGATTTGTTTGTGGAAATATTTCAAAATTTTTGGTAGAAAAGTGTTTTTTTTT